CGGGCCACATGTCTTCTAGTTTATTTATTTATTCAGAATAATGAATCAAAAAAATTAATTATTCCATATATCATACCTATATTCGTAGAAATAAGAATAAATTAGTAATATCAATCAGAATATATTCAATATCTCATAAAAATCAATGATAACCATAAACCAAATTTCGGACTTCCAGCAAAAATTGAAGTTATCCAGAGATAATACAATAAAATATCGTATATCAATATAACCATCAATCTAGAGGAAAAAACGATTCTGAAATATGTTCAATTAATCAATTTATATATTAGATTCATGTGAACTTGCTTGATTGATGGATAAGCATCCGGTCCAACTTGTTTCAGCGTGGTGCTTCATTTCGTGGACAGCAACAACATCAGTTGTCAAGCACCTTGTGGTGGGAGGAGCCGCAACAGAATCACCAGAGTCACCGTTAGAAATGGGCCGTAGATGATCTTATCCTGAGCACGTCTGCAGGAGCCAGAACTAACGTGACAACTGCATGCTTTGCGAGACTATGGCATAACTCAGAAAAGACAAGACGTGTCTACTTCGTCACCAGGCATCAACACTCCGCCAACTGCGTTGCGTGCCGGCATCCAGCCCTGACGCGAGCCGCATTCACACACCTCGGCCTCTGCAGGCTCCAGTTCGTTCAGAAAGGTCCGTCGCACCACCACGTCAGTGCTCGGGGATGCGAAGCAAGGCTTCTTGGCATGTGGAGCTCGCAGCTGGAAACGAGCTGCAGGAGCTTCCCCTATCCTCGGAGCAGCAACTCCTCCGTTCAGACGCCTGTAAGCCCGCTGCTGGTTGTGGAAAGCTGAATGGATCTGGTCCTTGCAAAGCGACCAATCCTGCGTCCGCACTGCCACTTGATAGGGCACCAAACACTTCCCGTTCAACTCTCCATAGAGTTTGAGCTGGATGTTGTTTCGATGCAAGAACTCCCCGAGGTACAAATAGAAATTAAAGTCCGGAGTATTCCACCGCGTCCAGTAGGAGTCGATCCCCTGGTCATCCGTGACAAGCACCCAACTCTCGTCCAAACGACGCTGTGGCAAGGTGCTGGGGGAAAACGGCAGTAGCGGCGGTCCGCGATTGCAGTTTCTCAGGTGCAAGATGGTGTAGTACGACCTGTCCTTAGCATCTGTTTGCGGTTTCGTGTAACACCACGGCACTCTTATTGGAGACTTCGAAAGTATAATCCTTCAAAGGGTCCAGTTCGTGAAGTTTCGGCAGATCCTGTTCCTGCATGTACTTCTCGAAGCGATCTTTCTCCAGTTTGTCAAGTCTAGAAAGATGCGTGGTGGCCCACACCTTGCTGGCTCACACGAACGACTTGAAGGAATGCACCCCTGTGTATTCATAATGCTGTCAGCTAGACTCGTCTATTAACGACCGGCCAGGCACAGGATAGGTGGCAAAGGGGAGGAAAATGACGTTAGACCTTGGCTTTGCATGATCAGCTTAAAGCTCTGGTTGGTATTTAAGAGACATGTACAGCGCAAGGGTTTGCCGAGGGACACAATCACTTTTCCAGGCTCAGTATGTGGGTGCGCAGTGAGTGCATAGGCCCGAACTGGACCGACCTGAAACAAAGCGGTGTGACGCCTGCCCAAAGGCAACACCAACATCGCTGCCATGCCAGGTGAGGGAATGTCTCTCCGCACAACCATTCGCGCAAAGTAAGCATCCCAGTCCACTGACTCCTTGGCCTCTGCTTGAAGGCAGGAGGGGCTTTCCAATATACGCCGCATGGAGCATGCTCGCAATGGCTGTTGCCCATCCTCCTGGCTGATGCGAACGATAGCATCACCGGGGCCGACTTGCTCTAGCCACTCGGCACGGACGAACCCCGACACGCGCACGATGGGCTGGCTGAAAGCTTCCTTGGCACATCCAGACAGAACGGAGACCTCAACCAATTCAGTAAACACCAAATACATAGCACAAAACACTCCAAGTCAAACCCAGCTGCTGGCCGGGTTAGCCTTAGTCTTCGTTCGTTTCGGGAATGAAAAAGCGAATTACCAAGAGCCATCGGATGTTTGAGCTTTCAGCTTTTCAATCTGAAGTTGAAAGGATAACTCAATCACTCTCACCCGGAACCCTACACAAATAATCCCATGTAACTCCAGTTCCCTACCTACCAAGATCCAGGTGGCAGAGAGGAGGCTTCGAGTGGTGTGTTGACCACAAACTGCAGCCGTGTCATGCATGACCCACCTGGGCTCGGTGGCTCTGGCTTGGGATTGAAACCCTGCATGATGATCTTAGAGTGAGTATGCGAAACACTTTGCTGCAAAGTCGCAAGTGGAGAACTTGTAGCAAATGCGGCCGTCGTGCTCCGAACAGTCTGGACTCTCCGGAAAGGTCTTTTGAACATTGACCCAGCCCGCGGAGTCCTAGCATTTTCCGATGTCGGATTGATGTTTCAACGTGGATTCTTGTGCATGATATATTCCATGGCTTAAGAGGCCAGTGGCATCAAGCTTGGTGTTTGTAGCACATCATCCTGCGAATCGACAGGAGGAGGATGTCGCAGCAACAGCAAGAACTTCAATGATTACCCTACGACTGCTGCCGTTACCGCAACTGCTTCAGCAACTGCCACTGCTGCTGCTGCTGCTGCTACTACTACTACTACTACCACCACCACTACCGCTACTACTGCTACTGCTACTGCTACTGCTACTGCTACTACTACTACTACTACTACTTCTACTACTACTACTACTGCTGCTGCTGCTACTACTACTACTACTACTACGACTTTTTCACCGACGACGAGGGCGACGATTACTACACACAAACGTGACTTTATCAAGCATCAGATCAGCAACAACAGCAACAGTCTTGATGGCGCTGCCAGCACGTAACATAAAACTCACAGCGTGACCCAATGCTCACATCATGACCCATACAAACAAGATCACTACTCTGGGAATGAGAGGCACAGCAAGATTGTCAGCAATAGCAACAGCAAGCACGGACAACGGCACCCACGCTTCCGGCCCAGAACCGCACCTAGTGCCCCGAAGCGGGGCTATTGGTTTAGAGCTTTCAGATTTACAGTACGTGTGTTGCTTACCCGGATCCCTGGGGTGTTGAGTGGTGACTGACCAACAAGCTTTGACTTGATCCCTGATTGCCACGGCCAAGTCGCTGTCGCTTCCACGATGTTGGCAAAAAAGTCCTCTATGTCAATGTGCGGGGTCAGCTCGTCGAGAGCAGCCGTACCCGACATTGGAAAAACACCCCCCCACATGTTCAAGGCTTCGCCTTGTAGGGTTGAGGGCTTCAGGAATCTAATGCCTAGTCGGCCAACGCAAAGACTGCAGGTTCCTTCGTGCTTTTGAGATGCAGAGAAGTGCAGGTACATGTTGCTGTGTATGCCATGCTTTTCTGTGAAGCTACTGAACAAGTGAACCTCGAATAAATCTCTAAATTCACCCACTTCAGACCATCCACACCATGGCACCTCAGATTCATGTTCGAGCATTGCCACCGCCGGCATGTCATGCAGACCCAAATACTTAATTAATCTCAAACCCTTGCGAATAAATCCAGAATTCTGTGGCTTTGAGCTCCGATTCGCCTATTTTGGTAGTCTAGTTCCTGCCAGAACAACTCCTATATCTCCAAAACAAAAGCGCAAACCTCTTACTTCGATGGGGGCCTGCATGATTGGCATAGGGTTTCGGGACAAAATTACACAATAGCTGTGGACAGTGAGTCGGAAAAGATTTCTGCAAGGCTGGGTCACTCGGAAAGGCTCAAGACCCACGCTCTTGCATGCTGCCTTGTAGACTGCATCCCACCGAAAGTGCCCATAGGAGGTTCTAGGTTTAGTGACAGTCACGAAAGCTTCGATGTAACTTTAGTCAGCAGCTTTGCGATCCCAGAGGTTCTGGCTCTGTTTTGGGTTTGGGTTTAGATAGGTCGGGAGGGTGGAGGTCTTGCTGCTGTGCAACGATGCTCCCGGCTTCTATCGGCAAGGAGAAACCAACCTGTACGACTGAGATGTCTCTGGAACCAATCCTCGACGAAACAATTGAAAGCAATACCAGGGACCTGTCAAATGTCAAACAGGCACCTCTTCGAAAAACTCGTCTCCAGATGCGGACAACGGAAGTCTAGAACAACACTCTACAACCCCGTGAATTCGAGCGACACCTTTGCAACCTTCTCCTAAACTTTCGCTTCTGCCCTGCGCTAGATTACCAGAGTTCTCTGCCATCAAGCTGCAAAAGTCAACGTACATGAAAGGGAATCAATGACATGGACCAAACCCATCATGTTTCTACGTGGCCTCGACGAGGTAAACGCATGCCAAAACATCAGATACTACGAACCGTGCCTTGGCACTTTTTCTTGTGGCCGTCACCCAAACCACCGTCATCTCGTCTCTGTCAACATCATCATCATCATCAACACGGCCATGGATCATCGCCGTCCTTTCGGACGGTATTTGGGGTCCGGTTCATGGGCCACTTTTGGCATCAGGAAATCCAGCATCAGATTGGGAATTTGAAGCTATAGGACTCGTCAGCCCTTAGGCTCTTCTTTTCGGCTGCGAGCTTTCCATTCGCACAGAAGTCTATGGAAGCATTTGCCTGTGGCATGAAGGCTGCCGTTGCAGACTACTCCTTGCAAGACGGATGCAACTTCTTAAAGTCGCAGCCTACGTCCAGCAGAAGGGACATCAGCTAGGGATGTGAATTCACCGCTTCTCAGACCGTGGGATTTCTTCACGGCTGAATCGAGGCATGTGTCCAGTGAGGGTAGCTTCAAGCCGTTAACCTCAAACCAAACGATTCCAGCATCCAACATCCTAAAACAGCTTCTCGTCATTGCATGGGCCTGGAAGCTGAAAAGCAAACCCAGATTTGCGTAGTTGCGAGACAAAGCCCAGCAAGTGGCACTAGCTTGGTTTGAACAGAGAGACACCAGGGAGAAAAATCATACTGTATCCATGAAAGCAGTTGCAGGCAGACTGCTTCAAATTCTCATAGCGTCAGACTCGGGGACATGAGGACCTCACAAGTCCCAAAATGCTGTACGCTGCGAAATTGATAGCAACAGTGGCTTCAATCCAAACACATGCAAACTTCTCGCGGAGCGGCAACTTATGTTGAAGTTTAATCAAATCGTCGTGTGCATCCGACTCGCTTTTAGTGGTCCTTGTCCGGGTGGGCCGACCTGACATAGATACTCTGCAAGAGAGTGCTAGTTGAGAACCACGCCCTAAAACCTCCTAACACGCAAACAAGCAATAGCGACCTTCCACATCGCCCCTGAGCCATACAAATCAATTATGCCACCCAACGTCCCTTTTTCTATGATATGTGAGTCGGGGGCCAAAGCTTTGAAGTGCGGGCTCGGAAGGGAACGCAAGGATTTTTGCGAGCACCTTCCTTTGTACCCTGAAAGCGCCCGACTCCGAAGTTTGTGCATCCAGGTCAGGGCTGGGGTTTCAGGGACATAAGTTGAGGGTTCCGGCGTTGGTGGTTTTGATGACAACACACTTAATGAGAAGATTGGAGTGTCAGGTAGAATCTAATCCAATCATATGAGGGGTATTCAAAGAATAGAACTGCTATTTACACAGGCCCTAAGCCTTAAGCCATGAACTTCAGCTTCGATTCAGCGGAACTTGACTCTTGTGATGCATGGCTTGCCTTCGGCATGGGTGCACCTCATTTGTCCAACGACTCAATTTTGCCGGCGTGCCCCAAGCTCGATTACCACTGTTCCCATAGACCTTGTAAGCTAGTTGCGGAAGCACGACGGCAGATCTCATATCCGACCCAAAAACCATGTACGAAGTCTTAAGGAGCTCCCTTCTGTCGTCTGTGGAAGCACACCCGCTAGCCATTAGCGAGACCGGTCCGATAGAGCCAGGATGGGCGACTTCTGCACTCCCAGGCTTTAGGGTTGACGGGTTTGGGGGTTTACGGGTTTGAGGGCTTTAGGCTTGGGTTTAGGGGGATAGGTCAACGGTAGCGCCTGAAACTTTCAGTGGAGCGTTTTGGCTGGTCTGATGGGTGGGCTGATGTTCTTTCCCAAGCAAGGACACAGGACTCTGCAGGCGAGAACGCTTAGGAGAGTCTGGGATCCAGGCAGTTTGGGGGATCTAGGAGAAAAAAGGGGTGCTAGGCTTAGGGTTGTCGCAAAAAGGATTGAGAATTCTTAGGGTGTAGGCCTCAAGGTCGAAGGTTTTCAACCTTGAGCTTCTTAATGTCGCAGCAACACATCCTGGCAAAGTCGGGGAGTGCGTTGAGAGACGGACACTGCACTCAAATACTGATGGCATCAGGCTTCTCCATAACAGCCCGCGACGCTTCGTCCTCTGACAGGCCTTTGTCATCGAAAAGGCTGGCTCGAAGCAAGTTACAAACATTACTGCCACCATCATTGTGATGCTTGTGGTAGCTGTCAAGCTGGTGTCATGTAGCCGTGATGTCCCCAGATGCACAGGCAACGAAACATGCTCAACATGATCAATCTTGCTGTGAAGCTGCCAATGTCACGTCTACACAATAAGATCCTGAGAACACCCAAAACAAAGCAAACGTCCACTGCAGGCTCAGAGTCCAAATCCAAAGGTCTCCAAGCTGGCGTCAGAACCACGGGGTTCGACGGCGACGTCCTACCCAGCGTTAGGGCCCTTAGGGTTTAGGGCTCAATTTGGGGCGCTTTAGGTAATATGTATTGCGCGACAGGGGAACGAAGTTCCGAATCGTTCCGACCCTTGCAGTAGGGTGTACGGCTCCAAAATAATTAGGGATTTTAAGGGTGTAGGGAAGTCTTGGCCCCGGGCCTGGGCTCTTTATAGGTTCATCAGCAAGGCCACCTTCCCTATCTCCAATAGCCTACCGGAAACATCCCAAGCAAATTGGGAAGGAACCTTGTCTTGAGTCCACTGCCAGTGATGTAAACAAGGAACATGCTCTTCAAACTGTCCGGATGCTTGAGTCATCGGCTTGATGGAGCACTTTCGTCTGTCAGTTTCGCTGTGTCATGCAAGTCTTCGCTTGATCAGTTGATAATTTCGAGGCCTCATACTGACACCGCACCCACAATGCTATTGGCTTCAATGTGGCCACAGGCTTGAAAGGCCATGTTGCATGAGCTTCAAGCTCAGAAGGATGTACCTTCACTGGAACAAACGCTCGATTCTCAGTCGAAACCATGCTGACACGAGCCCAACACCGAAACGACAAAAACCCAAATCTCAGCGTCATATGGGGGCCGAAATACCTAGAAAAAGGGCTCTTGGGTGCAGTATATTTACTGTCATAAGAGGCACAACAAGGGGCTCTTATTGCAAGGATTATTCAGGCCCCGGTACGACCCACGACCTCCCAGCTGCCTCTGGCACTTCAGTTGCCCGGTCGTCCGCCTCATCCTTCCCAGCAGCGGCAGGGTCCTGGCACCGGAAACCCCGAAAGGTTCGGGTCCTGAGGGGCTCTGGGTTCAGAGACCTTGGGGCTCTTGGTTGGTCTAAGTGAAGGTTAGGGCAGCGGGGGTTGCACAATGCGAAGCGGGTTCATGTACCTGAGGTTTGTCTCACAATAAGAAAGAAGGTGAGCAGGATCCCTAAACCCCAAAAACCTAACCTCGCTTCGCCTAGCGCCGACGCGCCGTGGAAATAACAAAGCAGCGAAGCCTCACATCTCTGTGGGTCTCGGAGTACAGCCCATTCCATCTCCGAGAAAACTACAACTGCTCCCAAACAGCTTTCGGGTTCGGTGTCTCAGTTTGGGGCTTCGGGCTTTAAGGCCTAAGCTCATCCACAACAATTCCTAGAAAATTTTGCTTCGACTTCAGGATAATACTGATGTTTTCTATTCAAAGTATGAAAACCAAGAACAATGATGTTGTGCTTTGATGGATTCGGACCTGACCCGACCTGCTTGGGCTCTTTTGAGAGCCCAGCCCGAGAGAAGACTTCGCTCCTTGTAGCGGTGGATGCGCTCCGCGATCTCCGCCACCTGCTTCTGCTGGAGGCCTCCCACACAAGGAGAAAGTCACTCTCTGGTCATTGCGTGAAACCCTTTCTCAAGGGGGCTTCGTACTAAAGCTCATCTGTCTCCCTTGGGAGGTGCAAGGTTTCATGGCTTTTTTAGGGACTTTAGACTTAGAGGGTTTATTTGGAGATCAGAGTTCCATTCCAAAAGGCTCGGCGCTTCACGTCGCCCGGTGCCCCCGCCTTCTGATGCCAGGGGGGAGAAGGGCAGGGCCACGACGTTCATCAGGCTCCGGAAAACCTGTCGCGCACGCTGTCGCTCCAAGCAGACCGCCATGTTACAAGCATGTGAAGAGCGCAGAGAGCTGTCAGGGAAGCGGAAAAACCAAGATTCCCAGCTTAAGCATTATGCTCGAGTGGTGGGGTCCGGTGTGGCCTAAACGGCCTAGATTCTGGCCTGCGGGAGGCACACCATCAGGCTTTGGCTCCTCTACAACTGCTTCGCTGCAAGCAGTGCCGTAACTGGTGTCATGACGGCTGCCTGGAAAAGCTCTTCGCGGTCGGCTGCCGGTCCCTCATGGACAGAGAAGGCAGGGTCTTGATCGAAGTTCGGAAATTCGAACTGCGGATCGGCGACCAGAGTCCTGTAGAATGCGAAGGAGATCAGACTCCGGGGTTTTGTTCTGGGTTTGAGGGGGGGTTCCAAGCGTTACGACCTTCGGATCCTCACAACAATCGTGAAGTCCCAAGCTAACTGGAAGCCTAAAACCGAGCATACCAGAATAATCCAACTATTTCTCAAGTTGGCCCGAGATTCAGGACTTGCAAGCTGCGCCCGGGTGGCTTCGATGAGGCCAGCAGCATACGCGCGAAGAGCGGATCGTTAAAGATGCCGCGGACCAACAGCACCACGAGGTAGTAAGCCTATGTCTGCTGCTACTGCTGCTATCGACGACGCGTACCACTCCTTCTACTAATTTTACTATAGCTACTACTACCACGACTACCACGACTTGCGTGCGGCTGAAAGGCCCATGGCTTCCAGCTGGCCATCTGGCGCTTTCCGTGGACAACCTCGCACTCCACATGCAGCTTACCCTGCAGAAGGATCCGAAAGACCTCGGCCAAGGAAAGGCACCGGGGTACTCCTAAGGGCCTTCTGCATCTCTTCTTTGTACATATTATTCCACTGTTGCTGGGTGGGGCAGTATCCAAGTCATACGTGACTTTTTCGCAAGTACGACCATATCTGGCACCCAGCAACTATCTGTGGTGGCATCTGCATCTTTACAAGTATTTTCGCACGAGCACGCACGCAGACAGCCATTGCACCAGCTTGTACTGCAGATCTCGAAGCGAAATGAACACCCCCAGACACATATACTGTAGTATTGCCGTGTCCATCGGTCTCTGAACCTGTTCATAAACCTTTGTACTATTCATTTTTTGTATTCCTCGGGTGGCCCAAAGTCTCCATGAAGCTCTGCATGATCGCATCAGCGGCTGAGCCCTTTTTGGCTTTGGGTTCTAAATGAGCCTTCTACTCTAAAACCTTCCCTGCATATCCCCCACAATCGCCCCTCCCAAGCCATAAGCCTCCCCTCCAAAACACCTGAAAGCCGGCACTCCAAGGCCTCGCAGGAGGACAAGGACTCCGCGTGGGAAACCGAGCCGATTATCAGGATCCTCAGCTTCGTATAAGGCTTCTGGAATGGACCCAGAAGGGGGGTTCTGTAAGGGACATCTAAAGCTTGTACTGAGGATCACAAGTAGATGTAGATAAGTCGGATGCAGACAACTCGATGTACTTCATTCTGATGTACTTCACTCTGTGTACTATGCACTTGATACTATGTACTTCACTCGATGTACTTCACTCTGATGTATTTCACTCTATGTACTATGCACTTGACTCGATGCACTTCACTCGATGTACTTCACTCTGATGTACTTCACTCTGTGTACTATGCACTTGATTCGATGCACTTCACTCTGTGTACTTACTCTGAAGGGCTCCGCACGGAAGAACCCTTCGCGAAGCTTTCGGGAAAAACAAAACTTGAGTCCCCTTTCATGGCTCTTCAACGTCTGAGGCGCATGATCGTCGTGTAAGTCGTCCAGGCGAGGAAAGCCCCAGGCTGGCTGAGGATCCCTGCCAGGGCCAGGAGGACGAGCGCCGTGTGCTCCTCGGAGCGCCAGCCTCAAAAAAGGCCGCATTCGTCGGAGCTTTCTTTTTGGTTGGGCTTTGGGCGGTTTTGATGGTTGAGGGACCCTAAAACCCGAAACACTCCTCAAACCCTAAAAACTCTAAAAACCCTAAAGCCGCCAAAGAGGGAGGGCTTCGACTTCGGGGTTTCGATCTCGATCGTTTCTTTCTGAGGTCTGCAGGGCCTTGGCTTTGAGGTTTGAGGTTTAGGGCGTTTAGGGTTTAGGGTTTTAGGGATTTAGGGTTCTTAGGGTTTAGGGATTTTTCGGATTAAGGGTTCTAGGGGTTTTAGGGTTTAGGGAGTCTTGCCTCCCCTGAAAGTGCTTGGCCAACTCTAGGTGCATCTTGTAGAGCACGTATCGGATGATGTATGGACTTTGGATTGGGGAAGAGGTGGGGAGCTAGGGTGTATAGGCGTTCTATGGCTTCTTGGTGCGACGGTTAGGACCGGTTAGGACTTAGGATTTGGGGCTTTGGGTATGAGGAATGAGGCTTGAGATCTCAGGTACTCGCGTTGTGTGTTGGCTTCCTGCCTCGACTTTTCCAGAGAGTGATTGGGGAGTTTGCAGAACTAGGGGGGCCCAAGTGTAGACCTAGCTGCAACGCCGCAATTCAGCACAATTGCTGGCAGAAACTACTGCATGGTAAAGATTAGATACCCTTCTACATGACACCAGGTGGACATTTCCAGACATGCGAAGCAGGGAGCAGATAATGCCAGGCTCCGTGGCCATTGAGGCAGTGCCATTTGGATTGGGGACACACTGAAACGGCGTGAGTGTGGCCTCGGATGGCGGCTGGAAGCTTGAAGGGGTTAGGACTTTCAGCGGTGTAATATAGGGGTTGGTATACTTACCATGAAATTTCTTTCCCATTTAGCACCTAAATAAGGTTACAGTAGAACCTGCCCCGAAGCCCAGATCAGTTGAGTTTTAAGTACAATGTTGCAAGACGCCAGGTGGTCTTTGGGACATTTTGTGGTTGTCCAGGTCTGGTGCGTCGACGCGATTTGAGGTTGAGTCGACTTATACTAACAAGTTTCTGTTGTGGAGCTTTGTTGAACAAGGCGGGGCTATAGTGAACCTTGAAGACGATGGGCTTCCGTTTTCATGACCTATCGGCGTCGACGGGCAGCTTCTTCTTCCATCCGTCGCCTCTCAGAAGAAGAGCCAAGGGCTGCCTACTTTGGAGAACTGAATAGCATTTTGGGGCTTCTGGTGGCAAAGTTGCACCAGGACTAGGCTCTTGATCGCTCAGGTCTCTATCTTGCCATACCACCTGGGTTTTTGTTTTGCACTTGCCACTTTGGCTCTGCAAACTCTTCTTACAACCGCAAAAGCCTCAAGACTTCCCCACTCAAACCCAAAGGCCCTAAACCCGACAACTTCTGCCATCGGCCGCGCGTCTAAAGTAATGGATAAGAAGAAGGCGAAGAAGACGAGACCGCAAAGGTTGAGAATGCCTCGGTTCGCAAGAAAGTCAAGGGAGGAGAAAGTCAAAGTATTGTTCCATAAAGGTTCCGGTTCAGGGTTTAGGGGTCAGGGCAAAACAACCCGACACCCTAGAACCTAAGGTCCGCTGTTCTGGAACCCAGACGTCATAGAAGTTGAACAAATAATAGAGGGGCCTGAATAAATAGATTAGAGATTTGGGGTATATTCTACTACTTATAATCAGCAACCAAAATAATTAGTATTGGTAATGATTTATAGGCCCCGACATTACCGTGCTCCAAGGTGCTGTCGAAGGGTTTTGGCCGCCCGATGCCGCATCTGGTCAAGAGCTGCAGGATCCTTCAAAGATGGGCTTCCACGACGACTACTGCTACTACAGCAACTACAGCAACAACAACAACAACAACTACTACTACTACTACTACTGCTACTATTGCTACTACTGCTACTGCTACTACGACGACGACGACTACTACTGCTGCTATTCATGATAGTAATCGAACCTTGGTAAAAACGATACTGATAATCATCATGCTGATGGATAGTACTAGGTATTAGCTTAGTAGTGGCCCGCGTATATACTGTGCCGGATCCTGAATATGAGGAACCCTGACTACGGCAACAGGGTGTGTTTACATACATATATATATATATGTATATGTATACGTATACACATACGCAGACATACCTACATACATACAAACATACATACATACATACGTAAAATATGCATGAAAACATTTACATTCAGCACTACACATACTCATGTAAAGATGAGTTGAGCTTGGGGACCTTCGTATATTTGTGCAAACGATGATGAACAGGAATCCGACAAAACGAAAATAACATCCGAAAACAAGGCATCAAAGCGACAGGAATCCTGCTTCAGAGGTTTCGGAACCACATACCAGAAACCCCAAACCCACACCCGACATCCTATATCCCAAATCACCATGACACCCACCATGAACCCCCAAGCCTTAAAACCCTAATGTACTTCCTGCTCTAAACCGCAAAGCCCTACCAGCAAGCCCTGGATGATAGGCCTTCAGCAAGTCGCATGGGATTTGGGGGTATAGTTTAGTATAGGCATATCATGGAGCGAACATGCTTCTGATGGTTCAGACCTCTACGAAGTGACACACAGCCCTTGCAACAGAAGTCTGGAATCTAGGGCCAACCAATACAAACAACAAGCCATGAAGCACTACGCAACCATCAACAATCGAAACTTGACGGCACGAGCAAGAGGATCGACGCCGCACCAAAAAATAATCAGATTACCTTGTTTTACAGATCATAGGCTATGGGCATAGGCTGTATAGCCCACTCTACACTTTCTTACACAGGGTGACACATGTCCATCCATCTATGCATCCGTGTACCTGTGCCCCCGTAAAACCCACATGAAAGTCGTTGTAGACCACCTATGAAACCTTGTAAGCCCTGAATCCCTACTATAGGGCCGCGAAAGGGGCTTTGTGGTATATGGTACCGCAGCTACGACAGGGAACTCTAAACATAGTATCTGCAAGTAGTTTTGCCCCTGTAAGCATCCTCCAACAACCCGCTTTGTAGACCCCTACGAAAAACAACGTGCTATAGAGCCCTTTTACATCCCCTTATCGTAGAAGCCAGAAAGTTGGAACATGATTGTCCTCATGCCCTTAAGGTCAAGTACAAGGGGTCCGAGCACTAATCCTAAACCCCCTAAATCCCGAACCCCAAACCCTAAACCCTAAGCCCCTTAAACACCCAAAACCCCTAAACCCCGAAACCCCCGGAGCTCTAAACCCATCCATGGTCATCCAACTCCAACTTTCTGGGACTCACTTGAAACCCTTCGGCCCAAGGGGCAGGAGGGTGGTGCAACCAATGGGACATGCCAGGAGTTGACTGACAAACTCGAGCACTGGGCTGTCCTGGGTGATGGGCTGAGGGAACTGGAGGGATTGCTTTGCTGTCTTGAGGGTTTAAGGCTTAAGTGCTTTGGCTCAAATTCGGTTCTCTTGCGAGGTCGATCCCAGGAACCCAAGCAAACCAAGTTAGGATTTTGACAGGTTTGACGTTTCCAGACCATCCATGTTAACTGCCCGTGCCAGGCATTTTAAACTAAGGTCACCGAAACTAGGGATTCTTGCAATCGTGGACTTCCCCGGGGGGGGTATGCGTTCAGCATGCGAAGTCTGCGGGCTCGAACCCCTTGTACGGACAGGGTAAGATTCTTAGCTGGCTGCATGGGCGTTCGAAGGTCCTTCGGGAGGCCGAGCCTAACCCACTGACGATCCGGGTGGTCGGGTGGACTGACGAGGGCACCAGCCGAACAACGACAATACTACTTCCTTCCCCTTTCGGGTTTTGGCTATTTCAAAACTTTTCAGGCAAGTCAAACCAAGGACTTCGTGCCATTTTGGAACTTCCAAACACATTCACGAATTTTGTTTGTCAATTGAACTCTTCTTAATGTCGGATGTTTGATCACTTGGATGACAAGACAATCCTAAATTTGCAAAAGCCTGAGAAGACCCAACATGACAAACCTCCCCAATCTGGGGGGTGGGGGGGGGGGAGGACACCACGAGTTGCGAAACATCCTTTGATTTGCTGGGTCCGGAAATACGCAAAATAGCAAAGCTCACCAATCTGGCGGTTCTGGAAGGATGGAGGATTTCTGCCGTTCTGGGCTTTCCCAGGTCTCTTCCACATTTGGTGGTTTTGCAATTCTAAGTTCGCCCACACGTCACAGATTACGCATCTGTGACCATTGGGCTTTCCAAGCTGCTGCAAGAGTACGTAGCCCACATTGCAACACATCATCAGAGAGGATCGCCGCATAGCTAAAGCCTGTTTGCTTGCGCATGACCTAGGTCCCCCTTTAATAATGTATGAACCTTGGAGTGACAGTGCAGCCTTGACGAAAGTCTTTCGTAGGGCAACCATCGGGGTTTGGGGCTTCTGGATTGAAGCTTTGGGGCCTTTAGGGCTTCAGGTAGTTGCTGTTGGCTGACAGAGTTTTCACGGGTACTAAGGCCTATGCTTGCAGTGTCACCATGACACTTACTTTTCCATATCCAGATTGACGATGACTATGGCTTCTACTTCTTGATGCAGCTGCAGAAACATGAAAGAACCACTGCGAACAACAGCAATCCAAACGACAACAGGATAACAGTAATAACAGCAACATCAGCAATGTCAGCAGCAACAACAACAACAACTGCATCAGTAACAATAGCAATGCACATGCTAAACACGGCAGAGAGCCGGCAGCGGCGGCGGTGGCAGTGTCCGTGGCAGCAGCAGCGGCAACCGCCACTGCAAGACTGGCTTGCAGGTCTGATTCATGCAACTCTTCATCTGTTGTGTAGGGTGCAACCCAGTCACGTTGTCCAACAAACGGCCGAGCGTCAGTCCCGTAGATGCAGGAGATGCGGATGAAGTCGAGGTCGAGCGTCAAAAGCTTGGTGAACTCCAGGAGCTGTTTCACAGGCTCCTTTGGGCTTGGGGTTTGGATGCTGGTGCCCAACGAAGGAAAGAGGGTGCGAACACAAGTAAACCAGCGGATCCTGCTTTACTTATGCTTGGGTAGGGGGGCTTTTTCGGCTTCATCGAACCACCGCCATTCCGGAAACCTTAAGCCCTGCAAGGCATCCCTGAAGTCGGGAAACCCGAAACATCAAGCCCTGACCCCCAAGTCCTCAAACCTGCCACCCTGCGGTGTGATGGTTGAACATCGCAAGCTCTGCATGCCGAAACCTTGAAGGTGCCGCCGAATTCAGAGTGCAAAGCTCTGGAACAACTCAAAAGTTGGAGTTGGTCTGAACTAACGCACTGAAGGCCACAACCCACAGCAAAGCCCTAAAGACCACATAAACAATAGGATACGTACGAAGCACGCTCGACATTGCCGTATCTCCTGCCAATTGATGGAGAGCTGGCGCATTGACCCAAGGGTCTGGATGGCAATCACCCTTGGGGCGGATTATGATGATTACAATATAATATACGGTACCATAATATAAGTTAGTGCAGTATCGTAGACTGTAATAAAGCACTCGACATGACTACGATATATTACAATTTAACGAGTGGAAAAATTGTATTTTCGATTCAAGGTTTAAGAGGTAGGGGTCGAATCGGGTCGAATGAGAAGTAATGCGCAGGGAAGTGTGGGCGACTTGTGTTCCTCTGAGGCTTCCAAGGAGGATTCTACCTTTAGGGCTTCTTTTTCTGAGGGATGGCTCCCTGGGAAAGTATATTGTCCACAAGCCATACAACCCTAAACCGTAAACCCTAGAAACCCTAAACCCCTATAAACCCAAAACCCCTAAACCCTAAAACCCTAAAAACCCCTAAACCCCTAAACCCTCGTCCAAGACCTCAGCTGATTCCTTGGACCTTGGAAGTGCTTTGGAGGATTCCAAGAAGCTCCGGGTAGGCATCCTCAAACTTGAAGCTGGTTTTATGGAGGGTTCATAAGATAAAGTTAGAAATCTTATGTAGGTTTGAAGCAGGCTTTTATGGAGGGTTCATAAGGCAAAGTTATAAAGCTTATGTGGGCTTAAAGCAGGTTTATGGAGGGTTTATAAGATAGAGTTACCAAGCTGTTGTAGGCTTGAAGCTTGGTCGGATTTAAGGAAACTTTTGTTGGGCTGCGGGTTGAAAGTTTAGGGTCCAGGGTGTGGGACCTCAGACGGTATTACGGGGTGCTGGAAACTTTGGACCAGTCTAGTGTCCCAACCGCCCTGGGCTAACCCTGACTTGGGGGTACGGCCACACTTAACTCCTATATAAATCTTCTTAGGAAAACCCTCAGCCCTAAAGTGGCTCGAAAGACTTAGTGGCCACGAGACTTCGGCACGCCATGGAACGAACAGCTAAATCCACATCCCTGGGCCACTCCTGTCATTTCTAACTCCTTATTCCTGTTGGGTTTAGGGTCTCGCCATGAGGGTTTGGGGTTAATATAAGGCTTTTTGGCTTTTTTGGGAAATCACAAAAGATACGTAGCCACAAATGACTGGGTAGCCGATCTTGGGTCCAATTTGCTACCCCATACTGCCGTTTATAGTATCGCACTCAAGGGCTCGACTGCCAAAGACCCATTGGGCAAAAAGTTTGACCTTTAAGAGTAAGGCTCACGAATCCGAGCCCAACTCAGTGTAAAGCTTCTTAAAGCCGAAAGTCCATAAACAAGTACCCTCTTAGATAATTTGTACAACTCTTGAGGGAACCCACATTGGCTTTGACCTACTCGAAGTTTTGTGGCTCCTCGCAGGAGCATGTGATGGTAATAGTAATAGTAAACTAATAATCATGATAGTGAGGCTAGTAGTATCAACAATAATGTAAACAACAACAAAAATCTAGTATTAGTACGTATTAAGAACGATAACAGTTCGTAAAACTATGAAAACGTTATCAATATCAGCCACTTTCATAATATTACTATTACCACTGATAGTAGCAACGTTCACAATGTTGGACTTTTTGAGCGTGCTAGAGATTCTTAATGTTAACAGTGTTAATGTCAATAATGATACTAATGATTTTAGAAATATTTTTATATCATTAACATTGTTCGCTCATAAAATACATACAACTAATGGTATGAATAATACAAATTATGAAAATGATCTGAAGGCTATCAATATTATTCATACTGCAAACAGTATGATAATACCAATATTAATAGTAGTACTGCTAATATGCTGATACAAATTTTGAGAATAATAAGAATAGGAGCGATAACGAAAGTCATAGCACAAATAATGGAAATAGCGCTTCTGTTCCGAGAATCAGCTGGCTAGCCACAGCGGCAGCCGTGAGCAAATTGAAGCCTGAGGTCACAGGGTTTTACGGTTTGGAATTCGGGGTTGAAGGATGTGCGAGGGTTTAGGGCCGTACGGTCTGCGGATTAGGTTTAGGATTTGGGGCCTGAGGTTTAGGGTTGTAGGGGCTTCGGTTGGGATCTAGAATTTATGGCCTGAGGTGTGGGTTTGCGAAGCTCTTCAACTTGCAGGATTTGCGAATTAGTTAAACCCTAAACCCCGCTATACTTCCGTTTGAGGCAAGGGTTGTTTTTTGTTATCCCAAAGCCCCTTAGTCCCAAGTCTCCACAACATCTCAGACTTCCAAGGCTCGCGCGGAAAACTCTGGGGGTTGAGGAGACCACCAGCGCCCCGTTCTCGTAAGGGCACCATCCCATTCTCAGGTTCCAGAAAACTCCAACCCTGTTTTGGGCAATCTCGCCCTATTAACTGCTCTAAGGCTCTATTCTCGGACCCTTGCTCAATCTCCAGCTTAGGTAAGGTTTACCTCAACCCCAGAATAACCAACCTTTTCTCAGGGGGCTTGTACTCAGGAAAGCATCAAAAGGAGCCTTAAAGCATGCAGGTTTCTTGGGGTCCAAAAGTTAAATGCTTAACTGGTTCCCTGGTGGGGCCATATAAAAAATAATCGATCTCTTAATCCTTATTAGAGTTTTCTTATAAGATAAAATGGTAAATTGTATCCAACAAGGACCCTTTCCTAATTTTCTCTCTTAGTGGTTCTGTTCGCTGGGTCTTTGGCTTTTGTGTTGAACCGTAAGAGTGCAGAGACACTCTGCAGCAGCCTGTTTCGGCAGGTTGTACACAAGCATGCCGTCTCGCATTTCTCGTGCGTGCAGACTGCATAGTCAGCTTTTGCTCTTTGCTTAAGAGGCTTTCAAGCGCATTTTGATGATTTCTTGATTCAAATGTTTGTTTTTCTCCCTTTAGGGTTTTTGCTCGCGGGGTTCTTCGTCGAATCTAGTGCGGCGCCCTAGAGTGCAGCAGCGTTCTGCAGAAACATCCTGCCTAGACAGGACTTCCACAAGCATGCCGTTTCGCACTTCTCTCGTGCAGACAGCATCGTCAGCTGTTGCTGCTTGCAAAAAGCGGCTTAACCCTGTTCTGTTTCCGCAGAGCTGGCAGGTTGTCGCTTCCAGCACTACTACTACTACTACTAGGAGAAGGGCCCAGAAGGTGGCCCGTTTCCGGCCTACCCATCCGGCAAGACTTGGGACGAGCCCAGCGGCAAGACGGGCAGCGGCAAGAAGTTCTTCCACAACATCATCGATGGCTCGAAGGTGCCCACCGAACCCTTCTACGTGGCGATCATCACTCCCGTGATCCACTACTGCATGGGTGGGCTCGAGTGCACCGTGGACGCCGAGTGCATTGACAAGAAGTCGGGCAAGGTCATTCCTGGACTTTATGTTGCTGGCGAGGCGGCTGGTGGCATCCACGGCAACAACCGCCTGGGTGGAAACTCTTTGCTGGACTGCGTTGTGTTTGGCCGAGTTGCTGGCAAGGCCGCGTGCAAGTTCACCTTCGGTGCTGGCGAGAAGTTCAAGCCTTGCCCTCCGCCCGGCGAGTTGAAGGATTTGTGCAAGTGAGGGCGCCGAGTTTCATTTTAACGACAGCCTCCACCAGGTGGTTAGTTTTGGGTGTAAACTGTGCAGTTGTTCCGCACGTAGCTCTGTGTCGTTGTGTGTTTGGCGGCTGGAAGCTAGGCACAGACTGTGTTTCTGGCACCGAACCATCCTCGCCCGCATTGTCCGAGTTGTGCGAGTCAAAAAGGTCTTGCAGCTGGATTTCCACTCGACTGGCAAGTGAAGATGCCGCTGTCCGTCAGTGGCTTTGTATGCTCGGGGACATTCAGCTATGCCAGCTCGACCTTCATTCCCTCGATGCACCTGGTGAACAGGTGTGCAAGCGGGCAATGGAATTGGCATCTGTGGAAACCCTGCTGCATTGAGATTTTTACCTGTCGTTGGCCTTCGCAAAGAACCACTTTGTGCTGGTTCAGGCAGCCTCGCAAGGTCTACGGCAGTTACGTCTCTGTCATCAGAAGACTTGTGCACTTCTGCACGTTGAGCCTGTGGCCTGCAGTCTGTGAACCAGCATCCGAGGAGTTTGTGCAGCTAACCACCGGTGCGGCAAAGCTGGCCACCCGACCTCAAATGGAGCTCGTGACAGAGAAGCGTTCAGCCATTCCGATCGCGGTATTGTGAGAGCTGGAGTCTTGACCTTGCTGGACTAAAGGGGCTGCAGAGGAGTGATATGGAAAATGTTGGTGACGGCTTTCTTACAAGGGACGAAGCCACGCTTGCTGTCAAGCAGGGCTTGTCTGGGTCCCCAGGCCCAATCAGACCGAAACCAGATCTGTGATCGTGTGGGCTTCTCGTCAGGAGAGGAAGGCAGAAGCCGTCGCGGGGAATATGGCCAGCCTATTGGAGGGCCGGCCATCCGAACAAGTCAAGGCGCCTGTGTTGCTCCAGGTTGCTCAGGGTGAAGTGCCCTACTGCCCAGACTTGGATAAATGGGTGATACTGCTGTTTTCTGATGCCTCTCTAGTCGACAGACCCAGAGCCGAGCATGCACAATGCAATGCCGGCAACCCTACCACCAAGCCGTGCCGCACTTTGGACTGTGTGGCCGTCCTGCCCAAAACCGACTCTGAACCAGTTCATATGTTCTCTACAGTTCTCTACATGCTGTTAAACTTCAGTAGCGTCTAGATCGCGCGACATTCCGGGACTCTGCACTTTGCCAGGGGCAGGTCAGCGAGTGGCAGGCCCTGTGCAAAGACCTCCTGCTTGACATGGCCGGGCCGTGCATTGGCTTTGGGTTCCTGGCGGTTGCGCCTACAGGGCCTACAGGCTTTAAGGATCAAAGGGTTCAGAGCGTTTGGGGTTTCGGGACTTGGGCTTGGGAGAAGTGATTTCCAATGTTGCCCCCTTGTGCCTGCTCGCGGTCTGCAAGAAGACCCCTATGTAGTACTTCTCAGAAGAAGCAGTGGAAGTGCCAGATTTGGTTCTCCACAGCCCAAGAAATCAAGGCGACTGTCGCAGTTGGAAGCCAAGACTGGTTGATCCCGCAACCAATGCGGATCATCCGTATATAATATGTGAAGTTGCTAGTGGAGGTCACCTCAATTGGCTGCACGCCCGCAGGAACAGGTTGGCGATTCCATCAAGGCCACGCCATGACGCCCTGAGATTGCTGCATGTGGGATTGTTGGCTTTGCTGTCGAAGTTATCGGGGAGCAACGCCGTGTAAACTTCTCATGACTCGTGCAAGTTGTTCGTGTTTAACTGACAAAATCTCGGCCCTTGTCAAAGATGCTGGCCGATCATGTTCTGCAATTTTAATTGCTCACTCAGCAATTAAAGTTGCGAGCGGTTTCGGCGATGAGATGGCTTCGAGTCGCAGTACTCTGGTCGCAGGTTCGCTCGAGGCTTCAAGGGCGGGGTTCAGCCACGCCTGCGCGGCCTATGCTCGCGTGATGCCGGGCTATGGGATGACAGGTGGACGGCCTCCCCAAGGGCATCGCCGACAAAGTTTGGATGCAGAAGCCGGAAGCCAAGTGCGCACGCTTACAGTTGCTCAGATTCTTGGGACGGCTTTTGAAAGGAAGTTCCCGCAAGTCGCAAGTTGCAGGGCGCCTTTTCACGCGGGCTAGTTCCCAGGGTGCTGTGAACGGGTTGAGGCTCCTGATTGCTTCGATGAGACTTGCAAGTTGGAACGAGGGCTTTGGGACGGCAGAGTCTGTGATTAAGATTTGCAATAAGACGGCATGGGCAGAGTTCCAGGCAGCGGATTTTGTTTGCCGCAGGGGACACGGTCTCGTAGCAGGCAGTTCGGGCAGGAACGAAAATCGAAGCAGACCGAATAGCGCCAGCAGGCAAGCAGAGATTCGCGGAGCATCAAGGACCCTTGTGGCAAAACTGGGGTTGCGGGGCTTCGTGTGACTGTCCTTCATCCGGGAGGGTTCCAAAAAAGATTTGAGGATACTGGTCGTAACTTGAAAAAAGCACAGAGAAGGACAGCTTAGGAGGTGGGATTTTCCGATCCGGGGTCGCCGGGTCGTTCAGCCGATGGCAGGAAGAAGCAAGAAGAGGCTGTCGAGGAGAAGCCGAAGGAGAAGACGAGCAAGAGCCGCGCCAAAATATCTTCCCTAAAGCACCGTTATTAATTTTTTGCATGTGTAGGGACATGCTGGCGGCTTTGAGATGGGCCGCAGACAGTAGCCCAGGAAGGCCGCAAAGCAGAATGCAGTGACGGCGAAGAAGCAAGAGCTGAAGATCGAGAAGGAGATGCAGGACTCGCCCTTTTTGGAACAAGTCCGCAGGAAGTGTGTCAACCAAGCATGGTTTCGGAAGCGCAGAGTTTGCCTTCGTGCGCTGTACTTTTTCGTAGCTTCACAGCAAGCTTGTCACCTGGTTAGCTTGTTTTCGATTTCACGCCGCAGTCTCCCATGTGAGACATGAGGCAACGGGGGGACAGATGGGCCGAATATGAGTGAACTGTGAAAGTCATCCGAGAGATGCTGTGCAAGAAGATACATGTGAAGGGCACGTCGAGGAGAAGGCTTGACACCTTGAGGCTGTAATCACATCAGTTTCCACAAGTTTCGGTTCCGTTTGAGTTGCTAAGCCCTCCGCTTGAAAAGCTCCAGGACCAAGCACTGAGAAAGAAGTGGCTGGGCAGAATTGAGGAAGCTTCTGGTGCCGAGAGACGCGAGGGACACCGGGGGGGGGGGAGGGGCAGAACTCGCAACGAAGAGAAAGCGGTGGGCTTTCAAGAAGACCTGAGGCAAATCATGCTGGGCATTGAGGCCGGTGTTTGGATTTTTCGACAGGGAGCCGGGTGCCAAAGCGGTCTCGGAGCTTCTGATCACTTGAGATGTCTGGCTGAAGCGGAGTCCCAGGTCACAGTCGCTGCACATGTCTTCTCGGGTTTCACATTAGGGACAGGCTTGTCGAGGCCTGCCCGCAAGTGTGGTGCACGCATCTTCCTGCTTGCCAGATGCTATGGTCCCAGCTGCCAGAGAGCGAGGTAGCAGGCACGGACAGGGGTAGAAGCTCTTCACAAGAGTTGGATTGGTCTGGATGACACGGCGCTTCGGGCGACAAGTCTAGGTCTAGAGTCTAGGTGATCTGCGGCCAGAGGCTCGCTTGCAGGCTGCTTGCTTCTGCAAGAAAATTCCGCTGCCGTCTGCCTGTTGCCCAGCTGCTGCACAATCATCATCCACCAGTCATTGGCACTTTTATACATGTTCAACTTGTGCAATGTGTCCAGCAGGTACGACAATGTTCGTTTGCAACCGCTTGAATGCACCCCTTGTGACGCCATGCGCTGGGATCACTCCGGACTTGCTCTGGACACCCTGACGGGGTGGGGTGGAACGGGTGGAACGGGTACTGGAAGACCTCGCCATGGCCAGGAGCTCGCATCCTTCCTGAGCGTTAATGACTCCACTCTCATTCCAAAGGCCTCGAAGCGGAGGGAGGGCGACTTTGTCTCATTCTTCAAGGCAGAGGACTTGGCCCCGCCGGGTGGGCTGCCACCTCCCAAGGGCTGGGGAGAAGGCAACGACTCGCCTTGCAAGACTTGTTCATGTGGAGACCAGTACGAGGAGGAAGGTGCGGAACAAGGGAAGGTGGAAAAAGGATATCCGAAGATGGTCTTCCCCAATGTTCCACATCATTCTTTCTTCCCGCACAAACGAGGTTACAAGCTCAGCCAGTTCAAAGTCTTCGCCTTGTTCTTTGCAGGCTTAGGCTGTGGATATGCTGCTGCCAAGTCGCTCACGCAGAAGGAGCAGCCAATGGAGTTGGCTAGAAACGAGGAGGTCGCTGGTGCTCGCACGGCTGCGTCATAGGCCCATGGGAGGCACGAGCAAGGATGAAATTTGCATGCCGTCAGCGAGGCCCTGGTTGCAAAAGATGCAAGATCAGGTCACGAATGAGCTGCGCAGCGAACTAGAAAAAGCTCGTGATGACTTAGTCAAATGAATGAGTTTAGTGGAGGTTGTGGTCGTTGAGCCTGTATCCATTGTATGGCTTCTGTTGCTGTAGTCACCAAAGTCGATCTTCAGCTTCGCCGTCGTTCCTTCCCCAAGATTGCAACGGAGACCGTCGCTAAGTTCAGGCCCATGGGCCCATGGCTCTTCAGAACCAGCACCTGCACTGGAACTCAAAACGGCCCTTCTGCAGCTGACGTTGTCTCCAGCCACGGCTCCGGTGTGGTGCGGAGCTCAGCCTGTGTCACATGTAAGCTGAGTGCATTTATGGAGGGTCACAGTGTGAAGAACAATGGGGATCTCCACATCTTTTCACGACAGTTTAGCAAGAGTTGCAGTCCCTGCTGCTGCTTTGCCACTGCTGTTGCTACTGCTACCTGTGATCCTTGCTTGCGTAGTTTTGGTAGATGTGGACCTGCCGTGCTTGCTTGTAATGCGGAAGCCAAAAAACCACGATCCGGTCGGTCAAACTCTGAGGTCTTAACTTTAAACCCGGAGCCCTCACCCAGTTCATCTCCAGGTCATAATTACCAACAATTAACAGCAATGGTGTGGCCCCCTTGATTAAAGCAGTTTCTTGCATTCTGCGGTTAACAGTTGCCTGGTTACCTGTAGCACTGCCTGCTCAGTAAGGCCAACTCTCACTGCTTCGAACACGGCATTATTCGACAAGCTATTGCGAGAATCGCACACTTACTCTGATGACAACCACCAGTATCATCGCCATTCTTACGAAGATCAACCCCAGGTTTCGAGCCCTGCGCCTGCGATCCCTGCGGGAGCAGGGCCCAGCCGAGCCGCGCGGCCAACGCTGCAGACGTCCGGGGCCTCAAACGTTCCCGCGGGGTCAGAGGCCTAGGATGTGAAAAGCAGGGGTTTCCATCCATGGAGACCGGATGCAGAACAGGGTCTTCGATTCTTCGTGTTTGTGTTGCAATGCGTTTCGGCATTTAGATATGTGTGTGTGCGTATAAATATAATAGAACACACAAACACGAGTCGCCTGACGCTGCCACGCGGGAGCCAAAAACAAACAAACATACAAACAAAATCAAACAAACAAACATACATACATACACATGTATGTATGTATGTATGTATGTTTGTTTGCTTGTTTGTTTGTTTGCTTGTTTGTTTGTTTGCTTGTATGTATGTATGTATGTATGTATGTATGTTTGTTTGTTTGTTTGTTTGTTTGCTTGTATGCATGTATGTATGTATGTATGTATGTATGTATGTACGTACTTGTTCGCATAGACTCGCACGCACATAGATAAGTTTGCGTATGTAGTCCCACATGCGTGCAGCGTGCTCCTGTAGCGTGACACAGTTCGGGCAAGAAATGCAACAACTTCTCCGATTCCACGGGCCCTGCGGCCTTTCAGAAGCATGTCTTTGCCGAGGCAGAAGTCCAAGAACCAGCTGAACACAGGACCGGCCCTTTTTTCTAAGACCCTACTGTAGAGGCCCTAGAATGAACTATGGGTTAAACACACACTAGCCAAGAAGTTTCGGCATAGGTTCCATGTTGTATAGTTGCTAGCATCACAAGCAGGCGGATCACCAATCTGCGAAGTACCATGACTACAAATAGGCCAGTGGATGACCAACACTGACCTTCGGTTCGATCTGGACGCAGAGACAAAACTTCCAACAGTTCTGCTTCTTGGGGTATTTAGAGGTATGAGGTCCAGGCAGCAAGTGCGAAAGGTTCTGTTCACTGTAGGGGTGGTTAGGTCCGGCTTCACGGCTTTTTGGTCAACCTCACGGGACCCCCTGCATTTTCTAAAGTCTTTTGGCCAGTCAGCCCGCTGGAGCGCATTTTGCAGCACCATCGGGCTGACATCGCAGCGGGCCACGAACGGCGGAACGCCTGGGGTCTGAGAGAATTCACATTCAGGTTCTGGAGAGTTTTTGGATTTGGGGATGGGAAGTGATTGTGACTTGAGAGGTCCACATACCGCGTGCGCGGCAGCTCACCAGATCTGTAAGGAGGGCACCAGGGCCGAGACATTTTTCCAATGAGTAGGCGACGTACTGTAACGCTTTGCTACAGAGGCGCGAACCCAGGAACTGAAGCTTAACCAAGAACTGCGCATGTTTATCTGTGATGCCACCACCTCCGAGCCAGCCCTGTGGACCCAGTCCTTGATCAAGCAGATAGAAGAGCTGCAGCAGAAGCTCGCGGCTTGTCTTTACTCAGTCTTCGGTTTTGGTCACGATTGCAGGGATAGCACGGGGTTGAGGCCTGAAAACAAATGTTTATGAATCTTCTGATGCACAAACCTGCTGCTCACACATGCCACCTTTCGGCCAAACCCAGAGAAAGTGCAAACAACGGCCCATGCCTGTAAATTTTACGCAGACACTCCCGAGCGCCTGGCCTTAAGCCTTAAGCAAAGCTTCAGCTTGAAGCCACCCGAGGAAGGGCTTTCCCCAGAAGCTCAAGAAGTCCTGAAGAAAGCCGAGCAAGGCCGGATTTCGAGGTTTGTGCGAACGAACAGGCCCGTCGAATATGTAAACGCTGAAGCCGAGCTCTTCTCATGACCACGATGGTGGAAGGAGGTCTTGCGGACATTCAGGTAGATTGCACTGGTGTATGTTCGCAGATGTTCGAAGACACGTAGGGAACATGCAGGGCTTCGGCGGGTTGAATGCGGGTGGGTGGGGGTGGGGGGTGGGGGTGGGGTGGGCACAGACTGCAGCTTGGATCGAAAGGTTCAGGTGATAGACTTGCATGATCCGTGGTGCTCCCATACTCTTTGGGGCATGTATGCATTTTGTCAACTTGCCAGCCATGAAGCCAGGCATCGCAGAGCGCAAGGCAGCGCAGGCGCGGAAGCAAAACCAGGTCGAACCACAACGCTTTCTTGTTCGAGAACTGCTCCTTCGTAGTTTCTGTTCCTCCTCAGCTCCTGACTGCCTGTTGCTTCTCCTCGTGCCCTCCTCCCGATGTCGTTTGCACACTCATCTCGCAAGGCTGCCAACAGGGCTGTATCACCTTCAGGTGGGACCTGTCATTGCCACGAGGGTGCCTGCAGTTTCGATTTGTATGGGTTGACATCTCTATGGAGTGTCCACGCAGGTTCCGCCCCAACTTCGCCCAGGGCGAAGTCTAAGCCCGCAGATCGGCGGATCACGAAGTCTCGCGCCAGTGCCCAGGGGAGTCCCGTGCTTGCCGTGGTCCATGTTTGATTTATCACGAACATCGCCCCCCTGAAGGTATCCTGCAGGTGGGCGCGAACGGAGCCGAAGAGGATGACGGTGTTCTGAGCGATGACTCCGATCCCGACGAGGCTGATGCCTCGACCTAGGACCTAGGCCCGAGGACTGGGATGTGCTTCTTCGGTTCCAGGGTCTGAATGGGTCTGGGGGCTCCGGCATGTTGGCCCTGGCGTCGTGGCGACTGCGTTTGTGGGACAGGGATGGTGCTCGGGGTTTATTCCAGCTATGTCCCCTTCCTCCCAAACTCCCAAGTTCTGGTGGGGCAAAAAAACCCTCACCACGACTTCAGACTTTGCATGGCGCAGTCCAACAGTCAGCGAGCATCAACAACCCCACAATCTGCAGCTGCAACTGCTTGACGGTAACGTATTGGAAGGTTCACTCTCCCTGCAATCCATGTCGAGTGTCTGGGACAACCCCTCGCAAAGGGTCACTGTAGCTTGGATCGAGCGTTGCCACTTCCGTGCAAGATGAGCTGAGTAAACTGTGTTGCCCTGTGTTGCCTGTAGCTTCACTGCAGCACTGATGTTTGCAGTTGAAGCACCCTTTGAAAACTCTGTCGGGGTCTGGGCACGAGATCCTTCATGCATATGCGTCTCGAGGTCCCGTCTCAGGTTTGGTCATGTAGTCATGTTGTATAACTTGGATACCTTGGTTTGGTTTACGCCCGGAGGCAAGCTTGCCTGACCTCTAGTTGCCGACCACTAGTCCGGGTTGCGAGAGCGTAAACCGTACACCCCACACCCTGAAACCCCAGGCGCTAAACTGCCCTAAACGCTAAAGCCCTAAACCTCACACTCCTGAACCCCAAAACCTAAAACAACCCAAATAATCCCTTCCCCCCAAAGAGCCTTGAACCCAAAGACTGCGAAAAAGACGCGCCAAAGAGACTCTCCATCCTAAACCCTAAACCCGAAACGAGCCTTGCCTGCTGTGCGCGAGAGTGAGTGTCGTAACCCTAAAAAGCTAAACCCTCAAACCCTAAAGCCCTAAACCCCAAAACCTCCCAGCCCTGAGCCCCGGAT